GATCAACAGGAAGTACTATCTGAGGTCGATTCTGAAGAATCTGACACCTGACGACGTCCGAGTTTTGATCAGACACGAGGACGAGATCGCTCAGACCGGTCGTTTCGAGAGGATATTCCCTACGCGCGACACGTACGACTATCTCGCGTTTTTCGAGGAAGACAGGTATTATAATTTCCTGTTGGACGCGTGGGAGAACGAGTACGGACGCGATCGGTCGAAAGGTATCGAGAGGCTGAAGAAACTTTGCAGAAAGAAGTATCATTTGTCTTGAAGAACATTCTAACAAATACGGAGACGGTGGATGTTACTTTGAATTTTTTGAGAGCCTGCCGAAGCTTTCGAATAATTTACAAGCAATCGACTTTGATCGTGAATTGAAATTAACAAATGTTTATAATATGTCGAAACATATTGACGAGAAATGGGCAATTTCGAACAAAAAGGGCTCTAATGAATTTTGTATTATTTTGTAAATAATTTCTTCGACGTTTTATCAAATTCGTACAAGTTGTACATTATTTGCTTTTTAGTTTGAACGATGGAAAAGAACGAACAAGGTACGCATCGTCGTACAAAGCGTGCAATATCTTTCCGATTCAGTGGAACTGACTAAGAGGAATTGTAAAATATTAAAGTTTGTACAAGCAAACGATTAGTTCTTTAACTGAAACAATAATTTTCTGTAAATATATAATTAAACAGAGATTAATCCTTCATCGGTAGTGTACGTTATTCATTAACCATCGTGTTTAATTTACTTTCAATTTGCAAACCAAACAAAATCTGCATCAAACGACGTATTATTAATTAAAGAAATCGGATCTGACGAACAATAATTATCCTTCCTGAGACTAATTTCATCTCCTTAAATTAAAATAGCCCAATAAAAGAAAAAATTGAAAAATAAAGTCGTACGAAAAAGAACGAAACATCAAAGACCGCGCAGCAGGAGGAAACAAGAAGATAGAAAGAAAATGAAAAAAAAAAAAAAAAAAAAAAAAAAGAAACGTAAGAATAATTCGGTTAAAATTAATCGCTACATATTGCCTCGCCGAAATTAAAGTATCAAAGACGGCGGAAGATTGACAGGGTTGATAGCTATACGTCGTTTTACGCGTAATTGGAACGGGGCGGACCTTCGAAGAATTAAATAGTTTCACGGCTGTAACAGCGTCGGGTTTAATAAATCCGTACTAACAATTTAATGTCTCTATTGTGACCGCGACGGCCGACGGTACCGGCAACTGAACTTGATTAGGTTAATACGAAAGGGGACCAGATTTCTTCGCTTCCGCCCTTTAAATTCAATTACCAGCCTGTGCTCCGCCAGTTAAAACATCGTGTGTCAGTTTTACCCGGAGGAAGTGATCACCCGACGAGATCAATTGTCTCCAGAAATCATTCGTTTCGAGTCTTTTAGCGAAGCTTTTGTGTCATTCGTTCGTGAACTACCGTGGTACGAAAAGGAGATTATAGATAGCGAACTCGAACATATTATACTTGTTATACAGACTCCAAATTAAGTAAGAATTAATTATAACTTATCAAGCTACAAGATAGTAATTTATAATAACATCACAAGTTACGAATCATCGAATTATTTTTTAATATTTGTCAAAGTATCAAATGAATCCTTGGAGTTTGGAAAGCTTCGATATTAAAAGACAAACTGTTCGGAAGGAGTTTCAACTTCTAATGGATTAATATTCAGTTGACCTGTATTAACATGTAACTCGTTATCCAAATTTCATCATCAAAATTCGCGTGCATTAAATTGCCTAGAATATATTTGTTTCGACCTTCAAATGGTACGATGTAGATACTCGCACTTCGATTATTAAATTACCAAGTTTGTCAATATGTAACATTCCCTACGACCAAAGACTGATAATAAAATTAAAATATCGGAAATTAATTCGTCATCAGAGCTCGGTAACGCTCCGAGTTGTTTCATGCGTTAATTCCAAATATTAACGTGAAAGAAAATATCGTCATGTTCGCGCGTTGCATTTCGGCGCGAACGAGTTCCATTTGCAGAAGAAGAAGAAAAAAAGAAGAGAAGAAAAGGGGCGCAGAGCCATGGCCTGTCAAATACGGGCAGCCAGCGCTCGTTTGAAGACAATGGGCTCGCACAGTGCCACGACAGTCAATGAATTGATATCGTTATTGTAACAACATAATAGACATATTTTCTTATTGAGATTGCAGTCAACTGTATGTGTAACATGCGCGCCGCGTCGGTCCGCCTTTATGAATGCATTCATTCATGCGAGCCGTGCGTATGTGTTACGCAACTACTACAAACCTCATCGTGTAAGGCTAAGGACCCCGTCTTCGGATTGGGGACCGCTGAAAATTTGGACAATCTTAATAATTACACGACAATTGAATGTTTGCAATGAATATTTTCTTCTCTTTTCTTTCCTTCTTTTTTTAATTTCGAGTTTCAAACGACAATTACGATCGTTGCAAAGAGCGAGGAATAAAGCTATCATAATAGTAGCAAAATAGTTCTTCAGATTTAAAAAAAAAAAATCGATTTAGATATTTTTGTCGTACATATTTTAAATAGATTTAAATATATATATATTTTTATATACTACATTCTGTATCTAGTTGTTCGATAAAATTATTCATTCCACGAAAGCAAACCAAACGTAGATCTTCCCCACGAACTAGATTTACGAAAATGGATAATTACACTTTTACGTCATTGAAGTTGCATCTTTATTTTTATTTCATTTATCGATCGAAACAGTTCCAACGCAGCAGAGATTATTGTGATTAAAATCGGAAGTCGTTTTATCACTATTTTTAATCCCTCGGGCGACTTTTTGTGGATCCATTAACGATCGCGCTTTGTCACTTGCTCAAATTGACCCTACGAAAAGTCTGATGGGAGACGATTTCTCGGAAGGAACGCTGGGCTAGCCTAATTCGTTGTCAAAATTACACGTCAACCACGGATCGTAATAACAAAGCGAAGTACAGACAGAGTTCAACAGAATGAAGAAAATCAGTTGTTATCCTGTTAGAATTTTATTGCTTATTCATGCTCCAAAGCAATTTTCACGAAACTGTAAGTCTTGAACGAAAAAAATACCATTCTATCTTTCCAATTTATCTCTCCTATGTATTAGATTGTGTAATGGATTAAATAACTTTGAGAGTCTCGTCCTTTTATCGAAAAACTGGTACAATACAATATTTCTATTTTCTGCCTTTCTTATCCGTAAAGAACGTCTTTCTTGAAACAATCAATGTTCCAATGTTAATGGTACGTTAAATACTCCAATGAACTGAAATCGATCCCGAATAAGCCTGAAATCGTGAATTAATGATTCTTTCTACGTTTACAACATTTATCTATACCACGCGTATTCCTTTATTCAACGTCGATGGATTATGTATATATTGTCTTGAATTTTCTACAACGCACACTTCTACAATATTCTCGAGAACTTAATAGCAATCTAACAGAGTTACCTTCTACACAGCATTATTTTACTCGTGTCTAAACACATCCTCTCGCCATATTTATATCTACGCGTCGTAATATACTCGATTTGTGTAATACCGACAATGTGTCATCGACGCATAATTTCCGACATTTTAATCAACTATAACGACAACTTATCCTCGCCGATGCTTTATGTAGGTCAGCACAATTTACTTTTACTAAGTAATTGTAAATCAGCTTTCACGTGTCGCTTGTTTGCAAAGCTGTCCAAACGCGCATGACACGCGAGCATAATATGACAATGTAGCCAGTGATAAATCACTTTCCTCCTGCCGATTGTTCGACGATTCTCGAACTTCATTATTACCGATCGGCCGAATTAACGCGATCAATTAACGAGCTTATCTTGCTGAACCGGTCGGGGGAAAGTAACGTCTCCACGACACACTTTTTAACGCAGTCGACGCCGCTCTGCACGCGTGGCAATATTTATCGAACTGGGAAATATGGGATTAATCTCTCTCTCTCACTCACTCTCTCACTCTCCCGACAATGTGTGCAAAGTATTTTTAATGAGCTCAGAGATCACGC